AATTCTCAAATTCAGATTAACAGAAAATGAAAGTCAACATTAATATCTCGTGAACAATAACTGTCATATTAAAATTTCGTAATAAAACAGAAAAGTTGTATATTTTCAAGTTATCAGTTGGTGTGTAGCAAAAAACTGTAGAGTATGTTTTCATTAAAAGAAATACACGGTCTTGTAGAGAATGCAACGATGAGTGTTTTTATAGAAAGTATTGTTTCGAAGTAACGAGAATATATTCAGATATTGATAAAACTGCTAGGACTGTTATTCATCCTGCCTCATCCCTTTTGTTTTTTCGTCAATAATTACAATTGAGAATATAAAATAGTATATCAAGAATCTCTACTGAGAAATATGATCAAATTGTGGTTGCATTTGGTAGTAATGTATTTCTTCAACGTAAAACCTTCTTTTGTTGTGGATTTTGGGTCCTGTCTTCGTCCACACTCACATCCATATCTCACTTCTAGAAGAGAAAAAGAAAGAATAAGTGAAACCTTGATTCCATCAATGTTGTTTCACCATTTGTTTACATAATTCAATGGTTTTAATTTATTTTGGTTGTGTAGCAGAAGAAAGCATTTGAATTTTGTCTGATTCTAGATAAGACACGCATACATATATGGCGACATCTGTGAATGTGAATCGTCGCTTATTGGAAAGTGTTCGGGATGAACCAAAGAAAATGCTGCTTCCCATATCTGGCTATGAGAAAGTCAATGTAAAAACTCTTGACGAAGCTTGTGAGCCAATAAAACATATGTTCGATCAAAAGCTACAACAATATATTACTATTGCCAAAATGAATTCAACCCAACCTGAGGATGGACTTAATTCAGATGAGTCAGCGACCATCCACCTATATACTATCGAATGGGATGTGCACGAAGGCAGTCTTTACATGGTATTGAATCGAACTCTTCGTTTGGCTGATCGTACAAAACTTCAACCGTGGTTCAAATATTTGAAGCTGTTCCTTACAGCTTTTTACAAATTACCGTAAGTGAAAAAAAAAGATTTTACATTTAATGTTTTGATTTTTTTGTGTATTAGGGGAAGCGAACACACACTTGTTTGGCGTGGTGTACGGGAGGATCTTAGTACCCTTTATCCAAAGGGTAAAGAATTCGCATGGTGGGCATTCAGTTCTTGCACTGCTTCAATGAGTGCCCTTGAATCACCAAATTATTTGGGAAAATCAGGTGCAAGAACAATGTTCTCCATTCAAACTAACAGCGGAAAAGACATCCGTGCACATTCATATTTTGAAAATGAAGATGAAATTCTTCTTCCTCCAGGTATTTATCTTAAAGTGATTGATTGCTTGAATCCAGCTGAAGGTTTACACATTATTCACCTTCGTGAAATTCCGCCACCATATCAAATGGTTGCTGAACCTTTTGATCTTACTCAGCTAAAGGAAACTTTACCACAATCAAAACCAACCCTAAACAAAAAGCAAGAGAACTATCTATCATCCGATGTTACACCAAAACCATCTGTACAAGCAATCTCGAAAAATAGTAAGTTGCCTCTATTTCCTTGGAGATGAGAAATTTTTAAGAGAAAAATTTTGCTTAGGACATCAGAGACTCTACTAAAACATTAGTTTGAAGCATGGATGCTTGAGAGGTCACACTATGTGTTAATCAGATAGGTCTTAATTTCGTTGCTTTTCATCGTCTCTCACTTATTTATTGTAGAAACTTTGAAAGTGACTTTTTTCGGAAGCAAGATATAGAAGAAACTAACTAGATTTTCTATAGAGTGAAAAAAGAAAGATGGAAGTCTGAGTCATGTCGTTACTAAGCACCTTCTATCGATAAGAGAACAGAATTCTTCGACCAGCTAATAATTATTATTTGAAATTCAAGTTCATATAGTCAGTTTCCATCGTTTTAAATTCCCACTAAGTCAGTACAGTAATTGAATTTGTTTTGCTCAAACTAATGTGAAGAATAAAATTCTTTGTTTAGAAGTGCCACTATTCATTACACCAAAATACAACTCACCATATTCTAACAAGAAACTAGATTGTAAAGGTCGTGCTTGCAAAAAATGTGGCTACTGTCGTGATTGGTACTGGAGTCCTAAGGCGAATGGTCGAAAGGATTATACGAAGCGTGCTGATGCCACTTGCATTGGTCATGATCCTCGTTATGATGATATTTATCGTATTGGTGATTCTCGTTATATTCATGATGATCCTGGTATTGGTATTATTGGTGGTCTTAGTTGTCTGTGTGAGTGTGAGGACAACCGTCAATAGTGTTTAGAACTTCGGGAGACAGC